GCAGCAGCAGCAGCAGCAGCAGCAGCGGCGCCCCTACCTGCACTTCTCGCGGGCCCTTCCGGAGGACTTCGAGCTGCCTTTGGAGACACTTCCTGCTGATGTTGCAGCACTTTTGGAGACAAATCCCAAACAAATGGACTTTTTCCAAAACTACTGGTACTGGCGTCTCCGCGCAGAGGCCGCCATTCTCGACCCGCAGCAGCTGCCCCGCAAGTCCTACAAACAGCTCGCGAGGGACATGGGACTCCAGGTGAAAAGGGCTCTTTTTCCGCCATTTTGGGGACTTTCGGGCCTCTTTTTCCACAGAATTCAGCTCCTTTTGAAGGCCTTTTCGGCCCCTTTTTGTCGAGGTTTTTGTCTCCGTTTTGTTGCTGCTTTTGGCTGATTTTTGTTGCTGTTTTTCGCTGCTTGTGAGGCACTTTTGGCGGTGTTCTTGTCTCTTTTCCCACCTTTTTGAGGCCTTTTTTTGTTCTTTTTGGATGAAATTGAAGTCCTTTCAAAGGCCTTTTTGTCCCCTTTTTGTTGCTGCTTTTATCTCCTTTCCGTTGCTGTTTTTGTCTCCTTTTTGTTGCTGTTTTTGGCTTCTTCCTGAGGCATTTTTGGTGCTCTTTTTGTCTCCTTTTCAATCAATTTGGGGCCTTTTTTAGTTCTTTTTGGACACTTTCGGGCTCCTTTTAAGGACCTTCTTGTCCTAAACAAAATAGAATAAATAAATAAATAAATAAATAAAATTTAAAAAATTAATAAAATTAATAAAATAAACAAATAAATAAATATTTATTTTTGTTTGCAGATTGTGACAGAAGAAAACCAACACATGGTGGGCCTTTTGGAGCTTTACGAATATCTCAAAACCGCCCCTTTTGTGGGCCCTTTTGGAACAACTCAAAACCCTGTTTTAGTGCCTTCAGTCCACACCGAAAGGTAAACCCTAAACCCCAAACCCTAAACCCTAAACCCTCGGTTTGGGGCGCTGGGGCAGGTGGGAGGGATTCAGGCCCCGCAGAAAGCTAAACCCTAAACCCTAAACTCGCAGTGCTACACTCAAAACCCTGTTTTAGTGCCTTCAGTCCACACCGAAAGGTAAACCCTAAACCCCAAACCCTAAACCCTAAACCCTCGGTTTGGGGCGCTGGGGCAGGTGGGAGGGATTCAGGCCCCGCAGAAAGCTAAACCCTAAACCCTAAACTCGCAGTGCTACACTCAAAACCCTGTTTTAGTGCCTTCAGTCCACACCGAAAGGTAAACCCTAAACCCTAAACCCTAAACCCTAAACCCTCGGTTTGGGGCGCTGGGGCAGGTGGGAGGGATTCAGGCCCCGCAGAAAGCTAAACCCTAAACCCTAAACTCGCAGTGCTACACTCAAAACCCTGTTTTAGTGCCTTCAGTCCACACCGAAAGGTAAACCCTAAACCCCAAACCCTAAACCCTAAACCCTCGGTTTGGGGCGCTGGGGCAGGTGGGAGGGATTCAGGCCCCGCAGAAAGCTAAACCCTAAACCCTAGCTTAGCTGCTTCAGCCTACACGAAAAGATGAGGCCTAAACCCTAGATCCTGCAGTAGTTCCTTCAGTCCACGTCAAACCCTAAACCCTAAACCCTAAACCCTAGTAAGAGCCAGAAGGGCAAAAGCAGCCCTAGGAGTCCGTCCATGTCTAAGCATTGCCCGCAGCAAACTCCCGCTGCAGCAGCATCAGCTGCTGCTGCAGTTGCTGCAGCAGCAGCTGATGCTGCTGCAGCGGGAGTTTGCTGCGGGCAATGCTTAGACATGGACGGACTCCTAGGGCTGCTTTTGCCCTTCTGGCTCTTACTAGGGTTTAGGGTTTAGGGTTTAGGGTTTGACGTGGACTGAAGGAGCGCGGGATAGGGTTTGCGGAATAGGGATTGCAGCGGGGAGGAGGGAGAGACGCGGGAGCTAGGGTTTAGGGTTTATGGTTTAGGGTTTAGCAATAAAACAAGCAAACAAACAAGTAAACAATTCATTTATTCATTAATTTATTCATTTATTTTTGCTGCTGCTGCTGCTGCTGCTGCTGCTGCTGCAGGTGGTTGATGTCTTCAGCGTGGAAACCCTAGAAAAGGCCCAGCGGCAATGGAACAGCGGAGAGTACATCATGTGGCCCGTCGGCGAAGAGGCCTACTCGAGACTCTTTCTTCAGGGTTTGCCGCCCTAGGGTTTAGGGTTTAGGGTTTAGGGTTTGGGGGGTAGGGTTTCGATGTTAAGGGTTTGGGGTTTAGGATTCAGGGTGTTCGAGTTGTTCTGGAGCTGCATGTGTTGCAGGCAAACTCGGAAACAAGGTGCCGGAGCAGCTGGCAGAGGGTTTTAAGTCAGTTGAGTAAACCTCAAACCCTAAATTAGGGTTTACGAGGGCCTTGCTGACAAACCCGAAATTAGGGTTTACTAAGGCTCTCCCGACAAAACGCTATATTAGGGTTCACGAGCGCCCTTCTGACAGAACTCCTAATTAGGGTTCACTAGGACCACGTGCTAACAAAACCCTAAATTAGGGTTTAGGGCCTTGAACTGCTGAACCCTAAATCCTCAATAGAGGTTTCCTTGCAACTGCGAGACATTTAGGCGGACAGCTCTTAGTTGTGCCCCTACCTATTTTTAGGGTTTAGGGTTTATGGTTTAGGGCTTAGGGCTAGCGAGAACATGCGCAGAAGGGGACTAACAGGCGCCGGAAAGTAGGAAAGAGTTTAGGGTTTAGGGTTTAGGGTTTAGGGCAAATAGGGCCAAAAGGACAGAAAAAGAGACAAAAATAAACGGAGAAGCATACTGGAAAAACAAAACAAGAAATAAGAAATTAAAAAAATAAAAACAAAAAATAAAAATAAACAACTTTAGGGACATGAAGGGATGGAAAGAAACAGAAAAGGGATTGCATTAAAGAGAGAAAAAGAAAGAAGAAAGAATTGAAATCCCGAGAGTTTAGGGTTTTGATTTAGTTCAAAAAGAATCAAAAACTTGAGGGTTTAGGGTTTAGGGTCTAGGGTTTTGACCCAGTTCAAAACGGAGTAGAGGGGAAGTCATTTGTTAGTTTTTCTGGTGTCGCACTGCTTGCTGCGTTGCTGCTGCTCCTGCTGCTGCTGCCACTGCTGCTACAGTGCTGCTGCTGCTGCAGCAGTGCTGCAGCTGCTGTTGCTGCTACTGCTGTTCCACTTCCTCAGGCTGCGTTTTTCGCTCCCTATACACTGCAACGCAAGTGACTGGGGTGTACATACACCCGGAAGCGCATGCAGCCGTTTGCATGCATCTGTTTTGTAGAAAAAAGTTTGAATAGTAGTTGTATATACAAATGAAATATAATAATGCAAATACTTTATAAATAATAAATAACTAGTATTGCCGCTGCATGCATGCAACGACTGTGCTTATCCGGATTGGGATCTACATAAAAAAAGGGAAGCTGAGGTGTACGTACACCCCAGCTGCACGTACACCCGAGGCCTTGCATGCATGCATGCATGCATGCATGCATGCATGCATGTACGCGCGCATGCAAGGGTGCATGCAAGTGCGCATGCATGCATGCACGGGAAGCCCCAAACTGCAAACTGCAAGTTAAGGAAGCGGCAGGCGAGAGACAAGGCAAATTGTAAAAAGAAAAAGAAATAAATGAAAATGAAAAAAACAGAAAATATAATAAAAGATTAAAAGTTGAAGACAGAAAAAGTTGAGAAAATAAATGGAAAGGCAATAAAGGCAAATAAATAAAAGAAAAAAGAAAAAAAGAAAAACGATGAAAAGGCAGAAGCAGAAGAAAGAAATAAAAGACTCAAAAGGGGAAAAGAAATAAAGGAAACTGAGTAAATAAATAAACAAATAAAGAAATCAATAAAGAAATAGAAGAAATCAACAAAAGAAATAAATAAAAGATATAAAAAGGAAAAGAAGAATTCCCTGCTGTAGCCGCCACCCCACAAACAAAAGAAAGAAAACTAACAAATGCAAACGCATGCAGCCCCAAACTCCTCTGCATGCACTGGGGAAAGCCCCAAAAGAAACAAGAAAAGCATGCATGCATGCTGCCCCTGGGGCCTGCCTGCCTGCATGCATGCATGCATGCATGCACTTACGCACGCATGCATTTGCATGCATGCATGCGCAAACTGCATGCAGTCTTTTGCATGCATTTGCATGCATGCAAATGCATGCAAGTGACCTGCAATTTAGCAGTACATTGAAAGAAATGTTTTTTGTCTCTTTACCTCTTTTTAATTATTTTTAATTTTTAATTTCAATTAAACTTTTCCCCACAAGGTGAAGAGACACCTCTCAGGTGTACGTACACCCGAACGCATGCACGGCACTTAGGGGTGGCGAGACACCTCTCAGGTGTACGTACACCCGAACGCATGCATAAGATGCATCAAAGTGCATGCAACAATCCACTTTTGAATGAATTATTATTTGTTTCTTTTGCCATTCTTTTGTTAATTTGTTTTTTATTTCATTTTTTTTTTTTTTGTCTTTGTTTTTTAATTTCTTTTTTCCTTTTCTCATTTGTCTCCTTTTGCCCACTTGCCCTCAAAGGCAATCCCAGCCCTCTGCTGCTGCAGCATTTCTTGTCTCCGGCTTGCTGCTGCTGCTGCTGCTTTTGCTGCTGCTGCTGCTGCTGCTGCTTCTTTTTGTCACTGTTGTTCATTGTCTCCTTTTGTCTCTGTGTCTCCACTTCTACATTTCACTGCTTTTTAATTTAACTCTTTTTATTTTTTAAAATCCCTTTTATTTCTTTTCATTCCTTTTTTAATCCATTTTAATTACTTTCTTGTTCTTTTAATCTCCTTTTTTAATCCCTTTTTTAATCCCTTTTTTCAATTCCTTTTAAATTCCATTTAAATTAATTTAAATTAATTTAAATTAATTTAAATTAATTTAATTTAATTTAAATTAACTTTCCCTTTTCAGCAGCCCAAAGCACCAGCTCCAAGCCCATTCCAGAATTCATTTTAATTCTTTTTGATTTATTTTAATTCATTTTGATTCATTTTAATTCATTTTAATTCATTATAACGAATTTAAATCCATTTTAATTCATTTTAATTCATTTAAATCCTTTTTAATTCATTTAAATGCATTTAAAAGACTTCAAGTGCAATTAAATGAATTTAACTTCACCCAAACGCCACAAAAGGATTCAAATGCATCAAAAGAACTTAAATGCATCAAAATGAATCAAATTAAATGCATTTTTAATTGAATTTAATTTAACTTAATTTAATTTATTTTATTTTATTTTATTTACCAACCCAAAGCATCTGCAACAAGTCTAGCCCCAGTCACCATAAAAAGGGTTTGCCAAACCCCCAAACAAACCCTCGGAAAAAGGCCCCGCAGCAAAGCCCCGGGGCCCTCGCTGCGGGCTATTTCGCCCATCACCTGCAGCAGCAGCAGCAGCAGCAGCAGCAGCAGCAGCAGCAGCAGCAGCAGCGCCGGCGGTGGTGGTGGGGGGGGCCAGTGCGAGGTGGGGACGGGGAAGGGCAGCAGAGAGGAGGGAGAAGCAGCAGCAGCAGCAGCAAGGGCAGACGCGGCAGCAATCAGCAGCAGCAGCAGCAGCAAGGGCAGATGCGGCAGGAATGCGAGCAGCAGCAGCAGCAGCAGCAGCAAGAGTCCGGTAAGGAGAGACAAAAGGAGACAGACAGAAAGGAAAACATGGGAGGAGACACAAAAAGACAAATGCAGAGAAAGCAGCAGCAGCAGAAGCAGCAGCAGCAGCAGCAACTAAGGGGAGACACAAAAAGACAAAAAAAAGACCAAAAGAAACAAAAAACAAAAGCAAACAAACGGGGACAAAAAGGAGACAAAAAGGAGACAAAAATGCAGCAAAAAAGAAGCAAAAAGAAGCAAAGGAGAAATAAAAAAAGAAATAAAAAAGCAAAAGAGACAATTTAATTATACCTTAATGATGTTTTTGTTTTTCTGTCCCTCAGCAGCAGCACTTTGCATTTGAATTCGCGCCACTTCAAAGGGCTGGTTCCAAGTCGATAAAGCCCCACCCTACACGCAAACCCTAAACCCTAAACACTAAACACTAAACCCTAAACCAAACCCTAAACCCTCAGCCCTGGCGCGCGCCTTCATTTTAATACCACAAACACTATTCCCACGAACCACTGCAAGTTCCTGTCCGCAGCAGCAGCAGCAGCAGCAGCAGCAGCAGCAGCAGCAGCAGCAGCTTACAATGCAGCCGCTGAGGACTTCTTCTGAAACGGTGAGTTTGGCGGGGGGCATGGGCATGTACTTGATGCTGTGGAGCTGCAGCTGCTGCTGCTGCTTGTCTTTCTCGGGGTGCTGCAGCAAGTCCATGTGCTTCTGCTGCTGCTGCTGCTGCTGCAGCAAACGCATCTTCTTGTTCAGCATCCCCTGCCGCACCAAATCTGTAAACCCTTGCCGAGAAGCCCAGTTTGTCATTTGCCGCAAAGCAATTGCAGAACCCCCGGGGTACAAACCCTGACGCAAATCCTCACAAACCCTAAACCCTAAACCCTAAACCCTGAGCGCCAAGCCCTCTGCGCCCAACGCGACACACCGACAGCAGCAGCTGCAGCAGCGCCAACACAAACCGACTACACACTTCAGCAGCAGCAGCAGCAGCAGCAGTAGCAGCAGAAGCATAGTAGTAGCAGCAACAGCAGCAGCAGCAGCAGCAGCAACAGCAGCAGCACAGTAGTAGTAGCAGCAACAGCAGCCACAGCGGCAGCAGCAGCAGGACCTTGATGCCCTGAGTCCTGAGGATGTCCTTGAAGCGGTCGGAAACCCTAAACCCTTTTTCAGAGTTTACGAGAGCAGTAACAGCAAAAGTGCAAGGGCCCATTACGAGGGTTTGGCAAGCCCCTCCTCCAGCCCCCGCAATAAACCCTGAATAGCTGCTAGGCAGGTCCAAAGAGCTGCACACCTTCAGCAGCGTCTCCTGCAGCAGCAGCAGCAGCAGCAGCAGCAGAAACAGCTGCGGTGAGGGCGGAGGCGTGGCAGCAGCAGCAGCAGCAGCAGCGGCAGCACCAGCACCAGCAGCAGCGCAGCAGCAGCAGCGCGCCCGCTGCTGCTGCTCCTGCTGCAGGCATCTGGAGGCCGTGTGAGCCAGGGCGCCGCAGAAACCCGCACCTAGGGTTTAGGCTCTAGGGTTTAGGGTTTAGGGTTTACCTTGCTGTAGAGCAGCACCGCGCCTTTCGAAGCACTTTCGAAAAGCTTCGGAGAAGTTCCTTGCCAGAAACCCTTCAAACCCTTCGCCTTCCAAATCTCCGC